GTGTTTCTAATTACATTTTCTCATATTCTTTTCTTTTAGATTTGTCTAGATTTTTTTTAGTTAAATGCAAGCAATGTAGGATCAGATATTTATGAGTAAATGTTAAAAAGGTATCCCTCCTTTTATGGGCATAATTTGTACATACACAGAATGAAACTGTGGATGCAATCTGAAAACATGCCCTTCTGATTTCCTCATTTTTACTTGCAATCGAGTAGCTAAGTGCTGCAAGTACTCAGATCTGTGCCCACAGTTCAACTTATGATGGGTGCAAAAATACAGCTGTAAGTTTTCTGGGCTGAAATTGTGCTCCCACAAAAGGAAGTCTCCCCCCGCCTCCTTCTGAAAATTTTATAGTCTATAGGTCAAATTTACATGGGGCATCTTGAAAAAATGCACATGCACCCATTGTGCCTCTCGAGACAAAATATGGCCCCAAGCAAACAGAAATTTTGAGCAAAACAGGCCACCTATCCACTTATATAGGAAATTATCTGTGTGAACATCTATAAGAGCTCATACAGGCACAATCATTGACTACTCCTTAGAAAATGAAGTCAGTAAGTAATTTTGCCTGTTAATTTAGCAAATTATTTAGGGCCCAATCCATTGCCCACTGACATCAATGGACAGACTCCAACTGGATTCAACTGATGTTGGATCAGGCCATTAGACTCATGTCAAGATTAAAGACCTAGTAGTACTGGCTGAAGTCAAGAATAGTGTGGGAAACACACACTCCACATTTTCACAGGGGTGCATCTGAAGTATATCGACAGCATGCAGTTACAAAACTGATTTTCTTTCTGGTTAAAAGTCATTCATTCAATATTTATAATTATTTAACTTTTCAACAGCTGTTTATCTTGGCGTTTACACAGTAATTAGTTTACCCAGAGGACTTGGTGAAGCCTGATCACTGAAGCAAAACCAATACCTCTAGACAGCAAAAAAGTCTGCTTTTGGATGGGTCTATCTTTCTAGTTATTAGAAATACTGGATGCCTCATTAGACCCAGTTAATGCAGGGGAATCCAGAAATTCAGTTGATAGGTAGGAAAATCTACTCAAGACGCTTCAATGCAAAAGAGAAAATAATGAGATAACACTTCACAGAATTAGATACAGTATGACTCTCATACAAACAGCTGAGCAAAACACTGCAGGGAAATTGTATGGAGCAGAAAAAGCAAATGCTGTAATTTAAAACCAGCAAGGAAGTATTGTAAATAGATATTCTTGCATAATATTAGGCTAAGAGTAGAGAAACAGGCAAAGGGGAGAATGGGGAGGACAAGAAACATGGATAGTTTCTCAAGGTAGAAGGGACCATAGGAGAGAACAGACAAACAAGCAAATTATCCCCAACCAGAAAGAAATTACAGAGAAGAGGTTAAGATGAGAGAAGAGGAGTCAGAGGAATAGGTGAATTAAAGCTCAAAAGAAATTTAACATGGGGGACATCCCAAAAAATAGGATAATTTTGGGGTGAATTTGGAAAGTGTCAGAGTTATCTAACGACATAAAAGAGCTTCTTCCCTGGTGCTCTCAAAACCTTATGGTGAGTGGCTGGTATGGAAGATAGTTATTCCCATGTTGGAAAATTTCAATGTAAGAAATGTGCATGACTGACTGGCTAAGTTTCCAATTCATGGGTATTATGGGGACACGCCCACATCCTGGAACTAGTTAGCACTACTCATTTTTGCCTTTTTTCTTAATGGGTACAACTTTCATAAGCTGACAGAACATGTGAAAATACGCATCAATAACTTGCCTTACTTGCCTATACAAACAAAATGTCCACCACCCAAATACCCATTTGCGTGTACAACTCCTCTTCTTAGAAGACTATATTTGGTTCAATGTTTTTTCATGTAAAAAAAAAGTCCAGTTATGTACCATTTTTTCCTAACCTCGCCTTCCAATCCCATCCCAAACCCATCAGTTCATCATTATTATTGATTAAAAATAGATATTTACTATTTGAATATATTACCAGTATTATATGTGTATAAATTATCCCTCAATTATATGAAATAGAATAACATAAGTGCTTTTATATATACTTTCACTAGAAAAGTAATGTAAGAGAAAACTATATGCTTATATTTAAGTAATCATGTTTTTAAAAAAGACAAAGTTTGATGTCAGGGATAATCTTACATTTAAAACTGTAAGGACCCTTTTTTAAATTAATACAACCTGATTTGTCTCCGGAAAGGTATTTTTCCAATACAGTATCATATATCACATGTACCCCTTTCAAACATATAAATACATAATTCAAGATACTTATAAAAACTTTATACAGTATGTTGCTATTTTTATTCTGAAGCGGTTCATCAGGAAAAATGAATAATTTGGTAGCATTTACTTTTAATAAATAATAAGTTTACATGTTGAATCGAGCTATATGATTGATTTTTAGACTTTGGGTTCTTTTGGCAGACATAAAGCAAATTTTCAGTGTTGTTTACCATTCTCATTGCTATAGTTCATCAGCATGCCACAAAAGACAGTCAAGAGCTTCTCATTGGCTGGATCTGTTTTACTGCACAGTGACCTTAAATGGTCTACTACAATCTGTGCACCACCTGCATGGTCAACTGCACTCCTGCCCTCATCTGTAAAACAAAGAGTTAAATTTAAAATAATAAAATAAAAAAAACCACCGTAGAGTTCCAAGCATAACCATAATCATACAAAAGGAGACATTCTTTAACAGAGTTAAGTGTAATCTCTTCAGTGATATGTAATTCATTTACAAGGGCACTCGTGGGCCAGATTTTAGAGAACCAGTGCTACAAAAGAGAAACCATTCTACAACAAAAGGATTAATCAATTGGTACTAATACAGATAATAAGTTCAATGTTTGAGTCAGAGTGATGAGAGAGGCTGATTAATAATACTTTGAACATAGATAGCATTTTTCTGTTGAAGGATCTCAAAGCACTCTACAAAGACTTATCTATACACCATCGTAAGGAAAGTTGTTCTAGCCATTATTTGATAAATTAAGACATGGAGAATAAAATAATTTTCTAAGTTTAACACAGCAAATCAAGACACAGAAGTGGGAAAATAAAGAGGACCTTGTTTCCCAGTCGCTCTGTTCCCTAGATCACACTGCCTCCCTTTTTGCTTTTCTACTTTAAGTTCAAAATTACTATGAAGATTTTCTCTGGATTTGTAATAGGCCAAAGTGCTCTGAGCCTTCGTAAGTAACACATCAAATACTTCATACCAAACTCTCTCCAACTAATCAGACTGTTCATGTATCTAATAAATATGATGTGAGACTATTTATAGTTTTAAATGTTCTAATGAGAGCCATTACTAGTATTCATCCCCCTACAAGCCTTTATGACTGGTTTACAAATTGTTAAATTGATCACAACCTTATTTGTCCTGTAAGTCCAATGGTGATTGGAGTAGTGAGACATGTGATCATACTATGTGGTAATGAGATTCCATTTTGACCCTCGTAGTTTTCTATGGAAGGGGAGAAAGAGTATTTAATCAATGGGAAGCTATCAGTCCTTTGTCTTCGGCTGGTCTGACACACTCCAAAGAAGGCTGGTGAGCCAAGACCAAGTAAAAGATCAGCTTTGACTTGAAGACTATGCCTAAAATAAGAACAGCTCTTTAGGGTAAAAATCTGCTTGCAATACATTTTTGAGTGAATTAGAACTAGTTATGCATTTTCTTTTAATTTTAATTCAGTAACTTATATTGGCCTATATTCACTTGCAGCCACTTAAATCCTACTGTTTGTACTTAACAGAAACACTTTTGTTTACAGTCAGGCCCAGTGTAAATAACTGTTACCTATGGGAACAACCAATGTGCGTCTCTCTCTTTAATTGATAAAAAGGGCAAATATCCTCATGAGCTTTCCATGTATAAAACTTTTACTAAGAAAAAGACAGATTTATTTGGGGTTTTGATCTCTTTTGGGAGTTGGTTTCCTGGGTGCTGTGCCCTAGAATTGCATCTTGCCAGACCTGAAGTGCTTCAGTATCTGCATTGCTCTTCAGGGGGGTAGTAACTCCAGCTCTCCACCTGGTGTGGGGGAGACCACTGGGACATGGTGGTGAGGAACCCCAGAAAGCAAGAAAGCGGGCGTCAGTGGGATGATCAGTACACCAGGGAACAATCCCAAAAGGTCTTCTCTGACCACATCCCATAACATCCAGTATCTTATCTTCTGTACACTCAATATGAAATCAGATCGCTCAGCTTCTGAGAATGAAATTCCATTGCTGCAAATGCTCCAATCTTATGTAACAGAGGTTTAAAACCTTTCAGTTCTTGTTAACACTAATTCTATAAAATCTGTCTTTGGTCTTTCAACAGTGAAGCAAAGAGGAGGAGGCTGAAGAAAAGAAAATGAACTCTTGTTGGTGGGCAACTGAACAGCTGGTCTTCTCAGGTTTTCATTTTAGCACCATACAGATGGTGTTTTGGTGAATAAGCCACACTGGATACAGGCAGAGTAACAAAAGACGCAAAAGAGATTAATGTGCTGATTAATGCTTTTGGAAGAATGACTCATACCAACATGGGTGTCTGGTGTGTAAGGCAGAGGAAGGCTCTGCCTTCCCAAACCGTCAACCTGGCACCGCCCCCAGAATGCCTGCTGTAGGCATTCTGGGGGTGAAGTGTTCCTGCCCCCAGTGCCCGCCTTCCTGGTGCTGGAGAGGCTGGGCTGCACGGCACACCCTCCTCTCTTCCCCGGTGCTCTGGTGTTGGAGGGGCTCGGCTAGGCTTGGCTGCGTGGTGTGCAGTCCTCTGGGACTGGAGAGTCTAGGCTGTGACAAGTGGCACGTCCTCCTCCCTCTCCTGTTATGCTCTGGGGCTGGAGAGGCCAGGCCGGGCAACACACCCTCCTCCATCCCCCAGTGCTTTGGGGCAGGAGAGGGTAGACTGGGCAGCATGCCGTCCTCTGGGGCTGAAGAGGTTAGGTGGAGCTGCACCCATGTGGTGCACCATGTTCCAGGGTTGGAGAGGCCAGACCCCGGTGTGTAGCACACCCTCCTCTGAGGCTGGGGAGACTGGGGTAATTGTGTGCCCATCTGCCCTGCCTCCCTGTGGGGAGCAGAAAAGGGGTGGGGCCTCAGCAGAAGGGGTGGGACTGGAGGTGGGGCTGGGGGCTTGTCCATGCATACCAGCCATAAAAATTCTCTTGGAAAACTGAGAAATGTAATATGTTTGGGAGTCAATCTAGGTTTGTTTGCAGGCTCAAATCCTATGACAAGCAAGAACCAGAAAAAATGATATGTAAAAAAACAACCCTAAAGCCCTGTTGTAGTGATAAATGGAGGTATGAAACTATAATAAAATCCCTGTCTAATGTTGTGAGATAATACAGGCTATTAGGTGCAAGATTGGTGGCCATGTTTACTGAACCAGCAGGGAAAACACTTGGCTATAAAGAATAACATGTTCTTTATATACCCATTCCTTAGGCCAGACAGGATTACTCAACTTTGGAAGCCCCGGGGGCCACAATGATACTCACAGCACATGCAAAAGGCTGCAACTTAAATGCAAATATATATGCAAATATATGCAAATAGCTTCTTTTACACTGATAGGCATGAAAACAAAGATTAAGGCAAAACTACACAACATGCAGGCCCCATTTAAGTCTGTTCTGATATTAATAAAATGCAATATTTACCCGATTGACAGCACTTTTAATGAGCAATGACAATCTAGGAATTTAACTACTAAAACGCATATCAACAGAAGGCCATTATATTAAGTCGCCATTGTCTACTACGCGCAGGTTTTGGTTGGTAAACGGGTGTAGTCACAGAGTCACTGGGTATATCCCTCCTCCACACCAGTGATCTGCTTCATTGAGTCTTCAGAAGTAACCAGGTGCTGCTGCTTCTCAACCCCAGCACTGAGCAGTAGAGTGGAACTGTAATTAGGGCCTTCTGGCCCACATAATTTGCCCAAGGCCACAAAAGAAGCCTGTATCAAAACAGGGAGTGAGTACAGAAGTTCTTCACTGCCAGCCCATTACCACACATTACACCTCAAAACAAAGAAAAAGTGGGTTTCCACATGCTATTTTAGTGCTCATTACAAATTCCCTTCCACTCTTCCTTGCTCAGTCTCTAAACTACAGACTTTACACATACGCATGCTCACTAATCCCAAGTCATTTACCATCCCCACAAGATCATAGTGTGAGGCAATGTCTTGTTCTCAGCCTGACTGCTGCTCCATAGTTTAGCACTTCTCCCACTCTTGAGGAGCTCCCAGGCTGCTTGGTGCGGATTTTTTTTTTCCCTAGGTGGCTTTTAAAAATAAACATTTGCTATTCCTGTGAGCTTAATGAGCGAGCAGCATAATGAGTGAATTCACATCTCTGCTGAATATGCATCACTCACAGCTCACAGAGGGTTTTACTTTTTTTAAAGTAAGTTTAGTGCTGTTTAATGATGCCAGACTGACAGCTTGGGAGACTGGAGTATTATTTCTCCTGAAAATGTGACTAGTACAGACCTACTGCCGTACAAGTAATTGCTTCATCAATGTGCTTCAATCCTAACCCTCAGCCTTCCTGTTAAATGCCTGGCCTCACTGCTGAGTTGCTCACAGGGTTTAAGTGGGGATTAGGTTATCATGTGGAGCTCAGAAATACTATGCATTTCCCACAAAAAGAGAGCCTCTCAAAATCCCCCTTGTAGTTTACTCATTGGCTGAGCTCATGGCAGTTCATATTAATGATTTCCAATCTGGGTGTCCCACATACAAAGCAAAATTGTCATAGATCATAGGATTAGCCCAACTTTCAACCTTTATGTGAAGAAAGGGCCAAACAATCCATGTGTAAGAAACATGAAACTTGGCAACTGTTTCCAAATTGTTCCACTGAGATGGGGAAGGTGAGGGCATGGCAGTTTCTGTGATGCTGTCAGAGGGCATATGCTGCACAGCTGTTCTATGCCTCTGAATAGCTTTTGGGGTACCTTAACCATTAAAGGACAATACTCTGAATCCCCCACACTCCTTTGGATGGGGATTGTATTTAGAGATGGGGGACTGGCATAAATTAAACTTTGTGGTATTATCTGATGGCAAAAATCCCTGCTTGGCAGTGGACACTGATGGAGGTCGCCTCCCTCCCGCGCC